GGATGTGTGTTGAGCCCCCTCCTGTTTACTCTGCTCACATATGATTGTGCAGCTACCCATCCAGGCTGTCACATTGTAAAGTTTGCAGATGATACAGCGGTGGTGGGATGCATCACAAACAATGATGAGTCCAGCTACAGGCAGGAGGTGGAACACCTGGAGAGCTGGTGCAGAGAGAATAACCTTCACATCAATGTGAAGAAGACAAAGGAGATGATTGTGGACTTCAGAAGGAACAAAAACATCTACACCCCCCTGAACATAAGAGGATCTGCGGTGGAAGTGGTCTCCAGCTACAAGTACTTGGGTGTACACATGAATGACAACCTCAGCTGGAGCAACAACACCACCAGCCTGATCAAGAAAGCTCATCAGAGACTCTACTTCCTCAGACGGCTGAGGCGAGCTGGTCTGGGAAGCTCAGTCCTCACCTCCTTCTACAGGTGTGCAGTGGAGAGCATCCTGTGCTCAAGCATCAATGTGTGGCATGGAGGCTGCACAGCTGCAGAAAGAAAAGCTTTGCAGAGAGTGGTGAAGGCTGCACAGAAATCTGTCGGAATCAGTCTCCCCACCATCACAGACATCTACACCTCCAGATGCAGGAAGAGGGCCACCTGCATCATGAAGGACCCCACCCACCCAGCACACACACTTTTTGCCCCACTCCCCTCAGGAAGGAGGTTAAGGAGCATTAAGTGTAGAACCACTAGACTGAGGAACAGCTTCTACCCTGAGGCTGTTAGACTCATGAATCTCTAACTAGAATAATCACTGTGAAAAACCATATCATGTTGCTGCTGATCTGTTTCATGTTGCTGCTGATCTGTTTCAATGTTGATGTGTTCATGCGTGCACATCTGCTCACAGACTCATGTTCATGTTTGTGCTGATGTTCAATGTTTTATGTTATGAGTGCTTAGTGTATATTTAGTTGATGTTTTTCTTAGTTCATATCTTAGATGTTATTACTGTTTTTCTTATACATTTTATTGTTGGATGTAACTGGGACCTTGTGTACATAATTTCGCTCCACCACATGTACCACATGAGGTGCGAATGACAATAAAGAAACTCTGACTCTGACTCTGACTCTGATGATTCACAGATGTAAACATGGACTTGCCCCAACTTTTTAATTTAACCTTTCTTTAACCAGGTGATTGAGATTTCAAGTGAGCCCTAACCACAGAGGCACCAGTTCCAGAAACATCCATCCATCCATCCATCCATCAATCCATCCATCATCTTTAACCCGCTTCTTCCATTTTGGGTCACGGGGGTCGCCAGAGCCCATGTCCAGCCATCACTGTGCGAGGGGCGGGGTACACCCTGGACAGGTCCAAGTCCATCACAGGGACACACAGAGACAAACAAGACAAACAACCATTCACTCTCTCACTCACACCTAGGGACAATTTAGAGTCACCAATCAGCCTAACATGCATGTTTTTGGTCTGTGGGAGGAAACCGGAGCACCCGGAGAAAACTCACGCATCCAGAAACATACAGACCAGTAAAAACAATAAAAAACAAAAGTGCATAATAGAACTTTTCACAACAGCTTTTACAAATATAACATTTTTTTTCCATGAATCACTGCCACCAAATTAATTATACATTCTTTACCTAACATGGTACAATTTATATGAATAGCATTAGATGTGTTTACTACTTTTCATTGTGAATAAAATATGGGATTGTGAGGTTAGCAAGTCATTTTCATTTTACTCAACTGTTTTGTAATTGGAGTTGTAGATAATTTATCAAAAATAAATAAATACTGTTTGTCAAAGACATGCTCAACACATATAATTTACCAAATAATAACTAGAGGAAAAATACTGAGTAGTAAGACAACAGGAAAAACTCTTTACAACCAGTTACAGGATGAAAGACAGGAAGCTGGAGCCATAAAACATGCAGAGTGCTTCTGACAAATGGTTAGTAAAATGTGTCATGATGCATCTTCTTGTGCTTGAAATGGTACAAAAAATGATTTTCTCAGAGGAGAAGAAGCGGGTAAAGATAATGGATGGATGGGTCCTCGTCCAAAACCTACGTCCCTTCTCCCACCCATCTTCCTCACTGCACCTGCATACAAATGAAGCTTGATGCACGTGTCTGCATGGGACACTAACGCACCTAAATCCCATTATATGCACAAATATGAACGCAAACAAATGCAGTGAAGGTGCAGAATGATGTGGCTGCAGATGTGAAGATTAAAGAGCTGCACAAAGCCTTGCTGGAAACCTCAGAGCCTCATTTCAATAACGTGTCTTGGTTTTTAGAAGAAACGTGATGCTTAAACACGAGTCCGTTTGTAGCCTGCATGTTTATTCTCTCTCTGCGATTTCACTTATTGATACTGAAAAACAAGCAGAGGCCTTTTCTGAAGCCAGGCCACACTTCCTCAGTCAAGCACCCGCACCAGGTTTCTACTGCAAGTGAATGAAAATTTGATGTGAAGATGATGACAGTACAGAGCACCTTATTAAAAACACAGAGAATTAAAAGTTTTGCAACGTAACAAAAAAGCCGTACGCGTTCTTGACACACTGCGTAAGGTGTTTTATTTATTCAGGAACGCAATTGAACACGTCTGGGCTGTTTGCTGTACCGAGGATTTATTTGAACAGGTCTTTTTTTTTAAAATAATGGTTTTATTTTCCTTTGTTTGAATTCACTCTAAGTTAAAGTGAAAGAACTACTGCTAGTTGTGTTGTTTGAACAAATATTTTGGGTTACTTGTCTTGAACAAATAAAAGTGAAATGACACCGGCATGATTAAATAATAAAAGGATATGCCGGTTCTTAAGTATTTAAAATGAGCTCCACCAGTGCACCTAAAAGTATATATATTTTTTTTAAGTTGGTTCTGTGAACATTTTGTGAACAGTTAATATCTTACCTGACTTACAAGTTAAACTCTAATAAGCTAACAACTAGTCTGAGCGGGACCTTGACCAAAGTGGACTACTGCCTTCTTAAAATACATCAAATCGTATAAAGATTTTATAAAAGGTCATAAAAATAATGTTGAAAATCACATCATTGTCAGTTTTCCATTGTATTGTGATTTACACAGAGAGCGAAGAGAAGCAATGGAAGTCGCAGCAACCTCTGACAGTATTATATACAGTAGTCCCTCGTTTATCGCGGAGGATCCGCACCCTGAAGACCTGCAATAAGTGAAAAACCACAAAGTAGGAATAATAGTACAAGTAGTCAGTAGCGGTTTATTTTTATTATACTGTGTATATATACACATTAGGGCATTTTAAACCGTTCCCACACTCTCACAATAAAAGCACGAAATGTTATGATTTCAGCTCCCTGCCTCCGTTGTTCTTTGCCCCTGCAAGCGCTCTTGGCTGCGCCCACTTCTCCGCTCTGCACGGAGAACAGCTGATCAGCTGCAGCAGGAAGTTTGTCCTGCAGTATGAGCTGCACAAATGGGCAGCAGGTGCTAAATAATTTAAAATAATTTATTTTCAATCAAAAATTCCATGCCATGCTCTTCCATCAATCAGCCAGTTGCGTGACATGTTCAATCTTATTTTGAAAAATCCGCAATAAACGAACCACAATGCAGCGAGGGACTACTGTAATGTACAATTACCAGTACTGTAAAGATGCTGAAGATAGCATTAACATAAATTTGTATGCAACTTTTTAAATTGGAGTTTTTATGACAGCAGGAATTCATTTAGTCTTGGCCCCACTAAGACTAGCTGTTAGCGCGTCAATCCAGTCACAAGTTCAACCAAACCGAGGTCGTCCGAAGAGCTATCAACAGCAGGTAAGATATTGTTTAAGACACTTCCAAAATTCCCCACTTCAAAAGAGCTAATCTATGGTGTAACTAGGAACCATAAGATACATTTGATTGGCACAACACAATTTTTTTTTTTTACAATAAAACAACAAAAATCTGTTTAATTTTGTGGAAAATCCTACAAATAGTCCACACAATTATTCAACCACTTAACCATTTAAAGTTGTTGATTTGCTTTTAAAAATAAAAGATCTTTGATCAACTGATTTTATTTCTATTTAGGTCAATAAAACACACAGTAGGTAAAAAAAAAAAAGTGTGAAAGATGAGCAGAAAGTTTTTGATCTACAAAATATATATATTTCAAACTATTAAAAGCTGCTGTTATCCATTTCTCATTCTGTGGTCTAAGTCTAGCAAACAATACAAAACAAGAGTTGTTTCTCTGCTTTGAGTTTTGTATTTAGCAATACTAACTTGTTGTGGAGTGTTACAATATTCTCCTTTCTCCATTTAAACAAGACAAACAAAAATAGTGACTACAAATATGAACATTCCCATCTTGTTTATGGACTTTTACCATATTCTACTAATATATTTACTGACTAAAAAGAAGACTATTTGCTTCACCCATTTCCAGTGCCACAACATATATTATTCTACAAACAACAGTCACATTACACAACAAATGCACACCCTTAATATAGTTGTACAAACCTGAGCCAGCACTTCTTTCTAACTTGAAATCCTAAAACTAAAAATCAAAAAGAACCCTTAAAAATAAGAAACAATTAGCTTCATATCTTGTTTATAATTTTTCGTTCACATCTGAGGTTCAGATTGTCTGAACTTACAAAAAGACACTGAGCTGGAGCGTAGGCACAACATTTTTATCATGCCACATCTCATGAACAAAATAAATGAGAGCGCGTTAAATGTTCCTCTTGTTCTCCATCTTAATTAGCCGTGGACCTTCAAGACAAGTCTGCCCCGAGGCACCCGTACATTTCTAGCGTTCACTTGCGCGAGCAAAGACAACGCGTTTCCTGAAGCATATCATCAAACGGGACAATGAAGATCCGCTCAATGTGAAAAAGACAAGATTATATCAGGTGTATTACACATTAGCATTATTATCACCCAAGTCTTTTTGTTTAGAGCGAAACAAAAGAGCCGTAATAATTAAATGCACGGTTTATGTACACATAAATGAATTTCCAAACCTCTTGCATACAAAAATACCTTGCATTTAATTCCACAAAACATAACATCCCAGCTTCATTACAGATCTACACATCTGAGCACATTTTGATCCAAATGGTTCGTCTTCCTCGTCTGCAGCAGCTAAAATATCATCTGAAAACATAATCCGACGCTCACAAAGCATCTGAACACCTTGAGGAAAATACAGCGAGTCTACATGTTAAAGTGACTGAGCAGAGATATTTATCGGCCAGCTGCATGCAGTCAGACTCTGCAAGTGGAGGACAAAAGGAGCTGAGGGTACAAAGCATGGTGCATTCAGCTGACTTTTTGTTTTGGTGTTTGTGAGGACATGGAGCTACATGCTGGGATGTTAAACAGATGCTTTCTGTCTGTCCTATTTGTTTTCATTATTTCTTAGTGAAACATAAAGCTCCCATCAACTTGCCTTTACATTTTAAAAGCAAGAGTGTCGTTTAAAGGCTCCGTGACCTTCCCACTAATGTGATGGATTTACTGCAGGAGGTGAGAGCTTGTGTGAATCATCGATTACTGGTATAGTATTCGCAGCCAGACAAGACAGGAGCTCCAGGTTTGGGGAGGCTTGCAGGGCTATTTTTTATGACAAAAAATGGACCATTCTGACATCACAGGCAGAAGAGGCGAGAACCCTCTCTGCCATCGTCGCCATCCTCCTGCGGGATACGGGGAAGCATGGCTGAGCGAGTCAGACCCCAAAACCGAGGTGGAGACAAGTCCTTCTTGGTGGCTGTGAACTTCCAACCCATGTGAGAGCCGCAGGTTCGGCACTGAGCAATGGTCCAGGCATACCTGAGAGCAAAAAGACAAACACATCATCTTAAAGGTCTCCTCAGCATCATCTAAAATACTGCAATAAAAAAATGAAACATTTAGTCTACCATCTCCAAAAAGAAAAAACAACAATGGGTTTGGGCTTGACCAATCCATAGGTTAAAAACTAAATAAATAAACCTTTCTTAATTGATGTCTGTGCTGAACAGACCTGCTTCCATGATTCAGAAGCTGACAAACTAAAAGCAAACAATCTGAAACCACACCAGATAAAAGTTGTGAAAACTTGTTCTCAGCACACAGAAGTGAATATTTACCTCCTTCTGGTCACTGAACTATAATTTGATTTGATGCTCATTGTGAGAAAAATTAGCAGATTTCTGCACCACCATTAAAAATAAGGTATTTAAAGTACAATTATTTATCTGAAATGGTTTAAATATGCTCTTGTCAGAAGATACGTTGAGTCAATCATGACTAGATATTAGGTTTTTTTTAATATATATGGATTGATACATACTGATGATACTGATACATGATGGACTGCTGTTGCTGATCTCTTGCTGCTCATTAATTTCATGCTGATGTGTTCATTCGCACTCACCTGCTCACACAGACTACTAGTTCTAGTACTAGTACTACTAGTGACTACTAGTGCTTAGTGTATTCTTAGGTTAGCATATGTTTTGGTTCATATCTTAGATCTTACTACTGTTTTTCTTTACATTTTATACTTTTGTTGGAAGTAACTGGGACCCTGTGTACACAATTTTGTTCCACCACATGTACATGTGTTGCGAATGACAAAGAAATTTTGACTTTGATACAAGTCAAGGCAATGCAGTGGTGGGCACAGCTAATCTAAAAGTTAGCTTTGTTAACTCATCTTCCACCAGTTAAAAAATTAGATTTGCTAACTCTAAATTGCTAAAAAGTAAAAAAAATAAAAATAAAAATGATGGAAGCTAACACTGAACCGCTGAGACGTCACGTCTGTGTCATGTCTAATGTCTCCTTCCCGTTGAATCTGCATTGATCAATCATGTCTTGTCATGTGTACATGTAGCAAGCTAATAGCGTGCCTAACAGACTCTTCGAGACACGCCCACAACAGACAGGAACAAGCTTGCCAATTTTGTTAGCGGACTTAAAGTTGGCGAAACCTATTTTTATCGGACGCTACTTCTGCTAACGGTTTCCAAAGTTAGCGAAAATGCTAATCCGCTCAACAAAAAATGAGTTCCCGCTATTAGCGGATTAGCAGAACTGTGCCCACCACTGAGGCAATGTAATATGTTTGGAAGAAACTCCAAAGAGACTAAAAGAATTGGCACCGTGCAGCTTTACAATGATCTACAGACAAAAAAAGTACTTCAGTGACACTCGGTGCAGATAAAAGCAGGCTGAGAGGTCCAAGTCATTAACAGGCTGTCTTTAATGCTCCGAGACTGACGTCTTGGAGAGATGAGTGCCGGCTGCGTGTCATGAGAGCGGCAGTTACCCTGGAAACCAGCTGTGCATCGTGGAGGGCCTGCCGACCAGGTTCAGGTTGTTGGCTTTGTACACCGTCAGGGTTTCATGGACGTAGCCGTGAGGGTTGACGTATGCAGCCATGGGGCCATACAGAGACAAGCTGAGGAGAGTGAACAGTCAGGAGGGACGAGTCAGTAAACAAATAAACAGACTGAGTTAAGATTAAAAAAAAAAAAACTGATGATAAATACCTCTGGACTAAAATATAGTCTAAAGGTGCTGCATCATTTCCACTGTGAGTTCAATTAAAAACCAACAGGCTCATAAACAGAAAATAAACTTGCTGTGACAACTCATTTTACGCAACATTTTAATTTCAAATTGTGTGGAATATGTTGGATTTTTATTTTATTTATTTTTTGTTAATTTTGTAGAAACCAAGAATAAAGTTGGATTCCATTTCACCTGCTGCCTTTTGTGTTACAGATTTAAATTAAAGTGGAGAAAGAACGCCGTTTTACTCGTTTTGGTCAAACCTTGTAAATAACGTACATAATCTCATGTGTTGTGAGATCTCAGTGTGATGAGGATGAGTCTCCGCTACTTCTGCCACAAAATCGTACTTAATATCTGTAAAAATGAAAGAGTTAGAACCATTAAGGTGTGGTGTCCATCTTGATTTGTGTTACCTTTAAATATTAAAGTATTGTAGCTGTACATCCACTGATCACTTTTTGAGAGTTTCACTAAAATCTGTTTGGTAGTTCATGAGATATTTTGCTAACAGACAGGCTTGACTCCAATACGTAATGACGAAGTTTTAAAAACAGACCTTGCATGATCAATTAGCGCTTGCAGCATGTGTTGGGAAAGACACGCAGCTACTACCACACCAAGTTTTAGCTCAACGTTTGTAAAATGAGGATGACTCCAGAAGTTGATCAGATACATCCAATACATTATTTTTAGTAATCTGTGTTAAAATCCATTTAATGGCTCATGAGATATTTTGTTAACAGAAAGAGGTGCACAGACATGAACGAAAACATCAACCCTTCTCACGTTTTGCTCTGAGTGATATAAAAATACATTTTAGGCCTGCACAGGGTGCTAATTACACGTTAGTTATTATAAATAGAAATAAAGATATACAAATCATACAAAAAGTGGTCATAAAATATATATTTAAGCTTAAACTACTAGGATCAAGTCAACATTTTATTTTTTAAAAGATCTATTTGATAAAAGGTATGAATATGTCAAGTTGTACTGAGTGTTGAAATAATAGAAACCTTTCACTGAACCCCTCACTATAGTCGAGTAACTTCGGTACTTGCAATATTCAAAAAACGTTCAATACAAAAAAATACAAAAACAATTTTTAATACATATACGTTGTAATAATTCTCATGACTTTCGTGGACCTCTGATTGAAAATGTATTAGCCACACAAAGCACATCATTAGTCGAGCGAAGTGAGCCCAACAAGTCAGTCCTTTTTCAATGCGTCTTACATTCACTCAGATAATTGGAATGACTAAACCACTTTTGTTAGAAGCATCCAGCGAGGGTCTGGAAGTCACCTCTGAACAAAGATATTACCCATAACACTTGGCAGACTGGCTGTAAATGACATTATATAACAGTGACTGGGCTCAGACTGGGAGGGTGGAGGCCACACACGCTCGTGACGTAAGCAAGCCACCAAATTATGCAACTTCCAGACAAACTTTCCTCAACACATTTAATTACACCTTTTCTTCATAATATAATATACTCGGACGCAGTGGCGATTTTAGCCTCTTTTTGTGGGGTGCTCAAGCACCCTTAAATTTTTCTCAGCACCCCTGAAAAATAAAGTAAAAAAATATTTAATTTTTTTGGGGCAGTTCTGGGTTTGGGTTTAGGTTCTGTTTATTGCATTTATGATTCAATGCAACAAAATAAACAAATTTAAAAGCCAACAGATTATTGTATTAGTTACATAATGACTTTAATTACTGGATGTCTGGCCCCTGAGCTGCTGCGTTCAGTAATTGTGCACCCCCTGAGCAGTTTAGTTGAATAGCTCTGCTTTAGAGGGTGAATACAGTTTATTCCATTTCCAAAACCTAAAGTGAGTCTGTAAAAATATAAAAGATGATAAAGCCCTTCGGCCGACCTCATGAGCAGCTGAATACAACAGTGATAAACAAAAAGTACAGCATGTTCATCTGTACGAAGGTAACTGCAGGTAAATCCTCCATTTTCTGTCATAATTACACTGCACGCTTAAGGTTAATGCTTAAATAGTTGTGCTTTGTATGTATATGTTGCGATTTGTGGTTGCATAAGTTTTGTCTTTATTTGTTATGATCAGTTAACACTAAACTGATTTTGTAGCAAAGCATTAATTAGGTTGTGTAGTGTAAAGCAGAGCACTATGGCTGTAGCATCTTAGCTAACACGTCTGTATTGCCTGCCACTAGCTTAGCGCTGCTTCATGTTGTGCCGAGCTCTTTAAAATAGTTATTCAATTAAGTGTTTACTTATGGAGGTAAATGTAGGTGTTTAACAACCTGTTAAAATATACCAGAATGCAGGAAATGGCATCTACTTTATTCAAAAATTTCTGGGGGAGGACCCCCTCCATCAGTGTCCCCCCACAATTATGAATGCTTCAGGCGCCAATGGCCACCATGAAAAATCTTGCTGTCAGTCTGGTATTAATGAGTGGGTGGAAGCTGCAGCTCATTCAGGAGGCATGAGAGCGCTCACAAAGCAGAATTTCATAATATATATATATATATATTTTTTTTTAAAAAGATTATTTGCAGAGTATCCTGTTTTTGGGGCAAAAATTAAAAGCAAATCTACAAATGTGATTAACTGCACGGCTCTAAAACGAAGTTTGGAAAAACTCTGAGGTTTTTGTCTTTATTAAAGAACAATTTTAAAAAAAATCTAAATTTCTAAAAGTAGCTCAACTGAGTGTTTTTTTTTTACGTTGCATACAAAAACCTCACTCAAGACCAATAGTTTGATAAAAGCAAACAGATAATAAAACAGCACCACTGTACAAACAGTAAATTTACAGATGCTTAAACATTTAAAAATTGGCAACAAAAAAACCCCAACAACAATAAGTTGAGTCTGGAAAAATATGCAATTTTGAAAAGTAAAATGTTTAGGAATCCTGTTCCTTCTGTTTGCGCTGTAAAGAAATAAACAGCAAAATAAAACAAAGTTCTCACCTGAAGATTTCATTTTTTGTAGTGATTTCAGAGTCCTGGCACTGCTTACAGCACAAAGACGTGCACTGAGGAGACAAAATGTTGCGTTACTTAATGTCAGATACAGAGTCTGATCACCTCAGAAGGCAAAAGACACACTATGAACAAACCATAATAACATACCAGATCTTTTTTTTTTTTCCTTCTTAAAATTCTGATTGGATAATGGTATAAAAATTATTTACAAGACTGACGGAGAAATTAATCAACCTGAGCAGAATGTAAATGTTTGCATAAAAATATTGGACCGTCTAAACCTGCAGACATTTGCCTGTTAGCACGGCTAAAAATAATCCGTCTCCCTAAAACACTGGACTTAAACCAGGACGACAGACAGCAGGCTGCCGGCTTCTGTTTAGATAGAAGAGAAGGTAAGCAGAGAATAAATAATGATATCATCTTGAAAAAAGCTTCCTCAGCATTATTTAGCTTGGATCCAAACCCTCAGCTCTCCTCAGAAAAAAAATGTGGGATGAACAATTAACTCTAACCACAAAATAAAAATAAAACAATCTTTCCTTATTTACTGTGTTATTTTAACTCTGAGCTGAATCATTGCACCATCTATCAGCTGACGTCAGGCCTAGTTAAACACACCAAAGAACACCAGAGGGAACAAAAGCCACTCAAGTAGAACTGGATCTCGTCACGCCAGGAAAATTATGCCTGTTTTTGCGGGACGTGCCAGTTAGGCTGGTGTTGGCGTTTACGCACCCGGTCCATGATGTCCAGTTCACAGCGAAGTCTCTGGATGGCGCTGCCGATCTTCAGCAGCTGGAGCCGCAGAGCATCGTCTATGGGCAGGCAGGCAGCCACCCTGTAGGAGAAGTCTGACAGAAACCAGGCAGAAGAGGAGAAGAGGGATGAAATGAAGGAGTGGGGGGAGAGAAAGAACACACGAGACAAACGTGCGCGTGAGAGATCCATCTGTCATCAACAGAACGGACCTACGGCGTTGGTTGGGAGCGAGTCGTCCTTCAGATTCTCATCCCATTCGTGGAGCTGTTTTTTCACTCTGTTCATGAGAGACTCCTGCAGCATAAAGCACAAGAAGTTTCTGCCTGAAACGTTCACACAAACAGGAACACTGTGCACGCTGTGGACTGCGGTACTCACAGAATCGTAAAGTGCATACACCCAGGGCGGCCACGGAGTCAGACTGGCACTGTGAAACTTCCTCTGGGAGAAAAAAAAAATCTAATAAAACCATGAGAAATTTAATATCGCTGCTCGTTTTTGTCATATCGGACATCCCCACTGATTCTCTTCCAGGTCTGAGAAAGTACATCCTGGAATAACGTTGGCATCCCTGGATATCGCACCAACGTGAACCAATTCCTTTGTGCTTAAATTCACTCATGGCGACACAGTTAGTAGCCTTTTTAATGTTTACAACAAGTAACAAGAACAGTATTTTAGAATGTAACAACAAGACCGCAGTTATTTCCAACTAAAGAATACGAATAAAAAAAAGCATGCTTGCATATGCTGGGAATTTCTGTTCAGTTGCTGAATATTTCCACACACGTTACAAAAAAATTAACAGGATGTAATGAAGGGAAGGCTAGTAGAGAATATCTAAGAGTGTGGATAAAACACAGTTAAGTGAAGTATATCCAGTTAACAACAAAAAAGGTTGAATCATGTCATCTGGACTTCG